ACCCCTCGCGGGGCTCCGGTGAATGGAGGCGGTGTATCCGGCGGCCGCGGGGCAGCGCCGGGGGAAGGCGGGCAGCGCCTCCCGGCCGGAGCGCGGCGCAACCCCAAAGTTTCCCGGGCGGGAGCGGCAGCGCCGCCGCCCCGCACGGGGACCGACGGGCGGGCGGGCACACCGGGCTGCGGCGGGGACATGGCCCTTGGCCCGGCCGGTTCGTTTTTCTTTCCGTCACCGGCTTTCGACTTCGGTCGGGCTGAGGCCGGGGGTTTTCTCGAGGAGCGCGGTGTGCTGTGGCCTCGGTCGATGCCAGTGTAGGTAAAGGACGTAAAGGTAAAATTACATCTCATGTTCTGAATGTTCAGTGAAGCGCATCCCTGCGTGTTTTCGGAAGAAAATTACTGAAGTTTTTAAGTCTTCTCGCCCTGTTTTTAATTAAAAATGTGCCCAGGCTAACAGCTACCCCTTGCTGGCGGGGTAGGCACTTTGGCCTATCTCAGATCAGGTTGTCATATCGCGATTCAGGTTTGTACTTCAGGTTTGTAATTCAGGTCTGACCTGCAGCTGGCTGATCATGAGGGCTCTCGGCTCTAGTTCCTATGTCAATACCTTCCACTGTTTTTTAACTGTGAATGTGGTCCTCTGCGTGGATCAGGGTTATTCCGTGAATTCTATGTAGTATTTCACTTGGAACTGTCATGTTTTTGTAAAACAAAGAGAAACCTTTTATTTTAAAAGTTGAATGGTGACTGAAAGTCGGCACGAATTTAAAGCATTCTTCAGCTCGAACAGTGTTTCTTCCCATGAAGCCTTTTTGTTTCTGAGGAACATACTGCTGCTGTTCTAGCAGCTCAACGTGGGAGAATTAGACTTCTTTTTCATGAAATGCGGTAGTGGCCTTTGTAAAAACAAATTTTCATGGCTTAACCACGCGTGGTTCGTATCATTGGGAGTTTGGACTGGTAACTTAATATGGAGGAATTTGAAAGGACTCACTGGATAGGAGATTATGAAGAATTTCTGTTTGAAAATACTTATTTTTCTGTTGCTTTTTAGGAATCTGAAGCAGTACCACATAGATGATGTTAATAGTACTGTTTTCATTTTTAGGATTATAATTTCTGATGTAATGTTGTTGCTTCTCTGACATATTGATCCTACAACTCTGGAAATTAAAAGCCTCTGTCTCACCCAAGTGTGTTTAAGAAGTTAAGCAGATCGCTTTGTCTTTGTAACTGACTTTCTTCTTGTGACTTTGACAGAAGATGTCACTTTTGGGAACAGTGAACAAATGTAACAATAGAAGGCACCTGTACCATGAAGAGCAAGGCTGTAATTAGCAAATATTTTTATATAGGCCATGAAACAGATACAGATTCATTATAATGTTAGCTCTTATTGCTGTTATTCTGTCATTGCAGTATTTGCCTCCTACTTCTACCGGATTACATTTCCAATTGCTTTTGTGAAAAAAAAAAAAAAAAAAACTAACAGCAGAGTTAGCCCTTGATAGTCTGGATGATCCTTTTTATTATATCCTGGGTACTGAACATATGGTAAATATTCAGAACTTCAGCCTTTGCCTTGTTGCCGTACAGAAACTCCCCTGCCGTACTTATCTCCCCTTCCTCTCTTTTTTTTTATCCTGTTTTCCTTGGTAGCTGTCTGAAAGCTTAAGGTTTTCTCTTCCATGTCACCTCACATATTCTGTTAGCTAAAGAAGATGCACGAGGTCAGGGGTGTCTGCTGTTTTTCCAGCCTTTGTTTTTTTTCTGCCTTGTGTTGCTGTTGGTATGTTAATCCTTTGCAGCGCTCATGGCTTTCCCGGGTAGAAACTGTAACAGTAGCAGCTCGAAAAGTGATACCCAAATGGCTCTGTTTGTTGGTCGTGGTCTTGAGCAGCAGCAAAACTACTCAGAGTATCTGCATTTTTCATGCTCCTTGAGCATAAAAGCTGCTTCCAAACTCATGGAGACAGGTGCTGTATCAATTTACTTGCTGCAGGTTTGAAATCAAACCCAAGACATCTTTGAATGTAAAGCGTATGTTCTAGAAAAATATTTTCTGTTTGTATTTGATGGACTGATGGTTTCTAAGCTGTGGGTATTCCCAAAGCCCACTCCCACTGTGTTTTGGGGAAGGAGGATTGCTGATGTGGATTTATTAGAGGAGTTTGAAGGAGTTTTTAGATAGCTGAAAACTGAAACCAGATGATGCTGTGTTTCTGTCAGCCCGGGGTGAGGTGCTGGGTGCTTGTCGCTGGACACCCTGCTCCCCCAAAGTAGGTCATCTGGAGAGGCAGAGAGTTGAGGCACTCTGCAGGAGAGCTGCTTTCTGCTTCTCATGAAATAATAAATATAAAGGTAGTGTGCTTTGTCCTTGTATTTACTAAGTATACAGAAATGTTGAACAACAATAGTTTCCAGGGAGTGAAAATGAGGAATTCTTACTAGTTCCTGAAGAGAATGATGTTTAGAGAGCTGGGATGGTGCTTTGTAATGTGGGAAACAGCATTGTTGTGTCGTCCTGACGTGAAGAAGTGTGGCCTGCACTAATCATTTCACCTGTGTACCATTGTCCAGTCTTTACTACATGAGATACTGGTACCCTTTTTGAGAAATGACTTTTCTGTTTGTTTTGCTTTTCAGATTTATGCATGTTGGCCCAGGAATCCAAAAGTTGTTTCTGTTTTAAGTAGTTCCAATTTAATTTTTTCCTGCAAATTAATTAGGCCCATTAGTTTTCTCATAATAATGTAGTCAATGGTGTTCTGCCCAATTAAACTGTTGCTCTGTTCAGTAGTGGGTAATTCTTCCAAATGCTAAGTTTTTGTTGTTTTGGTTGGGTTTTTCTTGTTGTTTTTTTTTGTTTGTTTGTTTTAGTAATCTTTTTTCCCCATCATAAGAATTCTTAATTGCTTCATAAATGCTAATGACATGAGTAAGTTGAAAGTGCATTGAAATATGAAATACGTATTTTTATATTCAATTAAATATATGTGACACAACAAATCAATTTGTTTCTTACTATTAATGGAGTGAGTTCATATTTTAAACTCATAAATAATAATTTTGCAGTGAGCTGGCCTGACAGTGTACATTTTTAAGCTTTCTTAGAGTATTGCAAATTTTAAGAATTCAGAAGCAGAGGAATAAATCTTGATAAGAGAATAGCAACCCATTGCATTTTAAATTACTGCAACTAT